AATAATATAGTGTAAAGCGCATAGAGCCTGCTGCTGAGCGGGGATATGCGCTATACAAATGCTATCTATTATTTTTATTTTATTATTATGTTATTCCTTGCAAAGTTGTTCAGGCCATTTGTGAATGTTGTTCTTTTTTGTCTTCCTCTTCTCCTACACAGCAGCAACAGCAAAACTCTCACAAAATATGTGGGTGGTTGGCGGGTGCTCTGGTCTGTTTTGCTCCTTCTTTCCTATTAAAGAGCTATCGTCTTTATCTCCCCTCCTCCTTTTTTATGTTTGTTGTTACTCTCTTGTAACACCTCTAATCTTCGGCACTTTTATGATTTTATTGTGTCGCAAGGGCCGTAAAACTCTTTCTAAAACTAAACACCACAAAATGCTTTAAAAAACAAACACAAAAGCAGAAAGTCCCCTTGCCCTTTCCATGTTAGCGCACCGTTCAGCACCGTTCAGCACAGTTCAGCACCGTTCAGCACAGTTCAGCACCGTTCAGCACAGTTCAGGTTGGCCCGTAACAGAAGCCACAACACATTCACTTTTGATCTTTTACTTTTTCGTGGAAGGGAGTGGGAAGGAAGCGTTTTCGACCAAAAGAACCAAATAAAAAAACATCCATGAAGTTAAACAGAAGTTGGGAACCAAAACTTTAAAACTCCTCAGAACCACACCCCCAAAACTGACCAAATCAAATACAACTTTTCAAAAATTTATATGCACGTATCCAATTAAGTTCAGGATAGTCGTAAAAAAATTTTTGAACGACTGTAAACTGTAAATCTCATTTTACAACTCCATTAATCATCAACAATCTATTTTGACTGAAACCCTTCAGTCAGGGCTAAATCAAGGTCTACCACACTGACGTTTGGTTCAACTGCTTGATCACTGTTATTTCGCTTTTCTTGTAAATCAAACTTCAGACCGAAGGGCTAGAACCAAAATGGCCGCTGGATCGGAAAAGTAAAGTAAAGTAAAGTAAGTCAATCAAACTCTCTTCTCAGGCATAAATAAACAGTACACTTGATGAACTTAAGAGAACAAAAAAGGCACGCGCAATGCATGAGGTACATAGACAATAATGGGTATTTCGGTTTTTGTTTCCACCAAAGTTGAGCAAAGTTCGAATTGAAAAGACAAAATCAAAAGAAAGAACACACATACGATTTCGAGACTACATATCTCCGGCACCTACCCTGTAACCTAGTCTAGAAAATTAACCTAGCGAGGGACATTCCCAATAGCTGAAAGTCATTATAGCAAAACAAATGGTCGTTGAAATTCCTAAAATATTTGGGACTAGTCAATCCGAATACAATAAGAAATACAATAAGCCATACAATAACATATTGACAGCAGATTCCAAGCGTTTCAGTATTTCATTACCACATCCTCGCATCAACTACAGATCTACCCCGTTCACCAGAAGAAAAAATCTACCAAAGGACAAAATGCATCATAACATATACATAATCATCATCATTATCATCATCATCATCAAGATTTCTTCAGCCAGTAGCCTACAGAGGCCAGAGCGGAGGAAAAGGTCTGTAGCGCAGAATGACTAGAGCGAGCCTGGAGCAAGAGAGATCCCGCCTCGGCCCGGTGACCCGCCTCCGACAGCTGACGGGCGACCTGGGTCGGGGTCGCGACCTCTGGAACGTCTGAGTCGCCCTGAGACTGCAGGATGTGCTGTACCAGGGGAGAGTACACGGGCATTGTGACCACACGAGCGGCTAGGTTCTTGTGAAGGATCAGCTGGAGCAGTTCGCAGTCGTCCACACCCTGAGGATGTCGTGGGGAGTGGGAGGAAAGAGAAGAACATTGGTGCAATAAAGTAGGTCATTTACTGCTGGCAAAGACAAGACAGTTGGAGGAAAGACAAGACAGTTGGACGAAAGACAAGACAGCTGGAGTAACAATAAAGTAGGTCATTTAGTGCTGGGAAAAGACAAGACAGTTGGAGTAACAATAAAGTAGGTCATTTAGTGCTGGGAAAGACAAGACAGTTGGAGTAACAATAAAGTAGGTCATTTAGTGCTGGCAAAGACAAGACAGTTGGAGTAACAATAAAGTAGGTCATTTAGTGCTG